CAGCCTCTCATGGGGGGAGGAGCAGGGAGGAGTGACAGTGGAAGCATGACTGTCATGGCACATCCAGGGAATTCTAGATGGTTCCATGTGGCCAGAGGAGATGAGCATCCCCGGTGGAGGAAGCATCGTGTGCACGGGTGTGGACACGGAATTCAGGATTGCGAACAATCCAGAGTTGCAGTTGGGAGCTCACAGAGCTTAGGCTGAGAAGCCAAGTGAGGCTTCTTCTGCAGGCTGAGGGGTTTGTCCTTTTGCTGGATGGCACTGGGCTCTCTCAAAGAGTTGTAATGCAGACTTGCTGTTAGAAAAATCACTCTATCAGTTGCAGAGTATGGTTTGAAACAGTCTTGACCAGGGATCTGCAGACTTTTCTGGTAAAGGCACAGACAGCAGATGTTTTCAGCTTTATGGGCTGGCTCAGCTGTGGGCATGCAGGTGAGGGTGCTGGTAGCAGGCCCTGTGCAGAGTCCTGTACCTTTGCCTGCCAGGACTGCTTCCCAGGAGGGCTCCCGAGGGCTGGGAGCCTCCTGGCCAGGGTAGTAAATTCCAGGGGAGGAGCCTGTTGGAGGTGCCTGTGGGGCATGGTTAAGCAGGCCTGTGCACCTACCCGGAATTCAGGGGAAGGGTTAGGCTAGAGAGGCATGGGGGCCTCCATTGTGGAGGTTAAGCTGAGGTCATCGGGAGAGATTCAGAATGAGAAGTCAGGTCACTAAGCTGGCAGCACTGGGAGGGTAAAGAGGTAGCCCTAGGACAGAGAGGAACCTCCTGGAATGAGGCCCAGCAGAGGGGCCTCCCTGGCTCAAGGACGGACAGAGCACCAGGGAAGTGCTCTCTGGTGTGCTGGCAGAATCAGCGCAGCCAAGAGGGTAGAGGGGGTGAGTGTGATGCTCTTCCAGGACTGTGGGCGGGAGTGGGCAGGGGCTCTGGGGAGGGGTCTTCATTCATTCCTGATTCACGGATTTGCCATTCATTCAGCAATAGGAGGGTCCGTCAAAAAGTTCCTCAAAGAATGGAGTTAAAAGACAACATGAATCTTTCCATGAACTTTTTGAAGTACCCTTGTAGTTGAGTGCTTATGGCGTCCCTGAGAGTGTATCTAGAGATCACACGGTAAGATGTGGACATCTGTGCATGGAGGAAGGAACCAGAGGATTGGGCATGGTGCACTGAGAGGGGCCGACCCGTGCAGCTGGAGTGAGGTACATGGAAGGGCACCAGTGTGGCTGCTGCCCGCTGGGAGCAGGGTGGCCGGCGATGTGACTGGAATGGCAAAGGTGCGGATGGTGATGCGGAGGGACTTGAACAGGGCCAAGTGTGAGGGTTCCAGGGGCCAGGGGGACAACGCAGCATGCTGCGAGACAGCAGTCCACACAGGCAACGTCTTCCCTGCACCTGCGCCTCAGGTGTGGCGGACGGGCCACTCAGTGGCCGGCCCTGGGTCCAGGCTGTGGATTTGCAGTATGACCAAGGTGGGGCCTGGGGTGGCAGGGAGGCCAGGGGCTGCTGAAGAAGTGGCTTAGTGACCCAGGGTGGCATTTGCCTTCATTCCTTTAGCACCTGTGTGCCGAGTGTCCACCCTGCCCACTGTGAGCCAGGTGCTGGGGTGCAGCGAGAGCCACGCCTGTCCCATGCATGGAGTGGCCTGGCACACTGGAGGTGATGGGGGAGGGTGCGGGGCTGCGCAGGGGGGTGATGGGGCGAGCCCTTCTGAGGAGCCGACGTTTAGAAAAGCTTTGAAAGAGGACAGTGAGGCAGCCATGCGAGGAACAGGGCCAAAGTATGCTGGCCAGAGGAACAGTGAGTCCTACCCGGGACAAGTACCTGTGGGGTCAGGGGATGGCTGCAGGCCACTTGGCAGGGAAAGGGAAGCTGAGCTGGAGGCCCTGATGACACTGTGGGAGCAGCTGGCCAGAGGAACAGTGAGTCCTACCCGGGACAAGTACCTGTGGGGTCAGGGGATGGCTGGAGGCCACTTGGCAGGGAAAGGGAAGCTGAGCTGGAGGCTCTGGTGACACTGTGGGAGCAATGGGGTGTTATTCCTGATGCAGGGAGCGGCATGGTCTGAGGGACGTGGCAGTAGAGGGACTGGGGAGGCCACTTGTGTGCTGGGCGAGAGGTGGCCATGGGAGGGGATGGGCTGGTGGACAGCAGACAGCTTCCAGGGGTAGGGCCTGCAGCGGTGGAGAGGCAGGAAGGAAAGGGGGGTGGGGGCCACCGCTAGGTTGTGGGGTTGGTTTGTAACTTTCTGTCAAAGTATAATGTTCACAGAGAAAAGTGTGTCTCCTGGGGTCCCCTGAGAGCGTCGACTTGGCAGCTGCATACATGGCGGCCCCGTCACCACCACTACTCCTGAGATGTGGGGACGAAGAGGCTTGAGGAGAGAGTAGGACTTCAGTTTGCAAATGGCGTGCATAAGTTGCGCAGGTGGATTTTGAATAGGAGGTGAGATACAGGAGCTCAGAGCCCAGGGTGGGGTTTTTGAAGCTGTGGGGGTGGCGGAGGGCAGGGAGAGTCAGCACCCAAGAGGCGTGCCCTGTGTGATGGTGGCAGTAGCCCCGCTCTGCCATTGCATGGCTTGCTCCAGGCAGTGGGCCCTGTGCAGGCACCTTTGCACTCCTTGAACCTGACCCCGCAGGCTGAAACCTAAGACTCTGTCCAAAAGGGGGGGGGGAGGGCACAGGCTTCCACACGGACCGGTGCGGAGTTTCCATCCCCGAGCAGCCTGCAGCATGGAAAGGGCGCCTCCGCGGCCATGGGACACCAGGGCCTGTGGTTGGGTACGTGGGGGCCCCAAGCCCTTCGCAGGCGCTGCCTGGCAGTGGGAACAGCACCTGCCAATAAGTCACACGTTTGTTTGTTGTTTTTCTCAAAGGCAGCAGGGACCCAGCAAGGGAAGTTTCAGGCTGGGTTTGTCAGGTTCCAGCCGGAGAGAGAGATGAAGCAGCAGCAAAGGCTGACCTCCTGCTGCCTGGGCTGGAACTTGGTGGGTTCTGGGGGCACTTGGTGGCTGCCCTGCAGACAGACGGCCTCACCGTGGTGGGGCAGGAGCAGACCTGGTGCCTCTGTGGCCCCACCGTGCCCTCATGCTCTGTGTCCAGGAGGCGAGCAGGGGTGGTGGTGCTGCCACCACACCCTGACCCTGGAGCTCTGCCACGTTACCACACCCAGGGGATGGCCCAGGAGGGGCCCAGGGACAAGTCAGGCCCCCAGGTGAGCCCGGCAGTCCTCTGGAGCTGACGCACAGACACGCAGGACTCCAGGCAGCAAGAGCCTCTGGTCCCCACAGTCATTTGCACTAATAGAAAGGCAGCAGGGGACAGATGCTGCCCAAAAAAAACAGCAACAAAGAGCGTTTCTATTTGGCCTGGGTCTGCGTTGTATGTGTTACAGGAACCTAACCCGGAGGAGTAAAGACTCGTTCACTTAATGAACACCGGGCTGCTCCATGCTAGGTATCGTCCTCGGAGCCTGGCACACAGGCGGAGACAGATGTGACACTGATAACTATAGAAGATGACATCAGGTGGTGACAGATGCCAAGCGGGGGATGGAGGGTGACATCGGAGCAGGGCAGTCAGGGAGGACTTCTTGGATGAGGTGGCATTTGAATAAAACACCGATCTGTGTCCTCTGTATTTTCCTGTCCCACCCGGCCCCCTCAACCTTCACCTCCCCCCCCCCCCGGGGCGGTCTTCCCCCCCCCCCCCCCCCCCCCCCCCCCCCCC